CAGAATAGACCTGGAATATGATCAGCGATCACTTTGCCGTTTTTGACAGGACCATCCTTCTCTCATTCTCAGTAAATCCAATATTGGCTTTCCATGGAGAGAAACTGGCAGCCATCTGAGCAATCGTAGATAGAAAAGTACGATGGACATGATTTTTTCTTTTGGCGTAAACAGTACCCGTTAATCCGTGCTGAAATGATCGTTAACTAGTCTGTGGGAATTAGCAGCCAGCAAATCCTATGCTTACAGCGAACCTTTATGGGATGCAAGACACATCGACTATAAAGAACAATGAAGGAATTATCAGCAAACGATTCTCATAAACAAGAATCAACACCTACTCGTCTCTAGATAAAACTGTCAGCCAGTCAGTTTCTATGACCGCCTGTCTGTTTGAAACGCAGATGTAGCACCGTCATACAGATTCTCTTATGTTCCTGATTCTGTGCCAACATGAAAGTGTCACCGCTTGAATTGAGTCATAAGAGAACTCCATTTTTCAGCATATACAGAAATACACGCTTACTACAGTTAATGCTTGCACATAGTGAATAACTAGCGGTACCATTTTACACTGGGCATACAGATATAACGGCTGACGTCGAGTAAAACTCCCCTTTCTGACACCTTGCCCTAGATCTGTGAGGAAACTTGCATTTCACTTTTACCAAATATTCAGACAGCTTCGCAGGAATAATACAACCTGCCAATCATCTGTTGATAAACAGTGGATACGGTATTGTACAATTCATGACAGGAAGGCATAATAAACTAACTCAATTATAACAAAGAAACGATAAACTGGAATAAAGTAAGTATGCAAAACTCTACAAGAATGTATTTTGAACTGAAGTCGCAGATTGAGGCATGCAAAGAGTAAAGTATGCCAAAGCGATTACCGGTAAAAAAGGAAGAAAAGGAGAACTGACTACTCTACCTACCTATCTACCAATCGACCAACGAGCTTTCGTAGAAGAAAGCCTGAGTCTGGCACAGAGACCGTTGAGGCACTTGCCCCAGGCCATTCTTAGCCTTCTCTGGAGTCTTTGACAGGTCAGTTGGCTGAGCTAGTAGCAACTGCATCGTCTTCTTTTATAGAAGCAATCACATCACGTGCCTAAACTGTTGCAGTTATGACGTCTCAATCTGACGTAGCAGCGGCCGTATATCAAGGTGGTCTCTGATATCTGATCTCATGACTCTAGCGGTACTGGTGAGACCAGCAATTTATTTTAGAGCCCATCTGAACCGCTTGTACCGGAGATCAAAGATTTTTAGTCATGGCCATGGTTCATGACCATATTGGAGTATTTGGTGAAGATCAGCTTGAACACAAACAGTTTGGTCTTCAGACTCATCTCTACTTTAGTCACAGCGCTTAGCTTAGTTCATGCAGAACTTCCCTGGCCATCTGAACTTGCCCCTCGATCCCTTTCTCACAATTTCAGTCACCGCGAGGTACTTTAATCTTTCCATCAAGTTTGTAACTTTAAAAAATCTGTCGCGCAGGTATACCTCACGAACAACAATCTCGGACAGACTTTACTTTTCTCGACTTTTGAATCAACAGCAAACGAAAACGAAGATGAACTCACGGTTTTTGACGTAGTTTGGCTCAAAGAAAGTACTGCTGGCATTATCTTTGCTAACGCCGAAAGGATGTGACTAAAGCAGAGCTCAGTCTAAAAACTAAGCTCTCAATATTCAAGTCGATCTTTATCCCCATACTT